TCACCGACTTACTGCTGGTAATGCTGGCTTCAACAAGGATGCCAACATTTGGGCGGCAATATTCCCATGTGATGTGGCGAATTTTCCAGAGGCATCATTGGTCATACCTCTCCAGGCTCTTGAGATGACAATGGTAGGTGACCCAGGTTTCACATCCTTAGAGGAGAGTGGGGATAATGACTGAAGTGTAGACTTGGATCTTGGTGTCTTTCTGGAGATTGTGATGAATAAAGACTCACCGAAGCAACTCCCCAAAGGAGGCACTTCCGCACTGGATCTTGTACTGGATTTCCTCATCAATTTTCACTCTCTGAGAGAAGTGGCTACTGAGGCAGGAAAAGTGCTTGACTACCAGAATCTTTCCCTCAATGGTAATTTGGGGAAAGGGATCACACTCATGGGTTGGGGCAGGTTGATAGAGCATTCAGTCATCTCAATGTTGAGAGGAAAGCCCAAAGTTTGGGCCTTCTCCAAAAAGATCCAGTGCAGTCTGGAGCTTTTTCTCAGTGTGCACAAGGATGGCACAGTCACCAGCATATTGAAGGTCAAGGCTAGTTGTTTTGAATACTTTGGTCTTTGAGCAAAAACATCCCAGACTGAAGAGCCCTCCATCCATTCAGTATTCAGTGTCAATTACAGAAGACGATCCTTAATAAGAACTAATATGACTGTCAAAAATATGGAGAACAGAGTTGGGGCAATGCTGCATCCTTGCTTATCCCTAGCCCCACCTTCTGCCTCCAGCCAGCTGTCAGGTGCAGCCAGGCATGACAGGGGGAATGCTGATACCCATGCATTCAGGGAGGCAGTCACACCTTCCCCTGCTGCTCTGTTGTGCAAGGACACAGACACCAGGACACAGATGCAACCACAGCTAGGCGGGAGGCAGTGGTGGGGTTGAAATGCTGGTGAGCAGTCTCCCCTCCTCCTGCTGCTCTGTCATGCACAGACAGATGCAGGGATGCAGACACCAGCATTCCCCACTTCCCTGCCTGGCTGAGGCTGACCAATTCCTGTGGCTGACAGAGCAGCAGGGGTGTGAAGACAACTAATCAGGGGTGGCATTCCCATTCAATTGCACTCAGGAGTCTCCAGCAGCCCAGGGAGCCAGCGGGGCATGCTGGCAGGCATGCAAGAGTGCCCCAAACCTCAGCTGGTACAGGCATCCTGTGTACCCTTCTCACCAAATGACGAACGTGTGTTCTGTTCGCTCCTGAACTAACCTAGAGCACTCAGAGTAAAGCGCGTAACTTAGATTGCTTTCACCGTGGGCTTTTTAAACATCTGTACCTGGCCAAGGTGTCATCTTGACAAGCAGAATGAGCCCTTCTCTTCCAGTGCAGCAGGGCTTGGATATTGGTGTTGCTCTCCTCAAACTTGTCTTGGTGTCAATGGGTGATATAGCCAATGGATTTAGCACAGGCCACGTGGATGGCAGCTTTAAACCTCTTCCAAAGTTCCCCAATGTTGCCTTTGTTTGTGAACAGAGCAAAGACACTGTTGGAGCTTAATACAGACCTTTGAATCTTGATGTGATTTGGTGTTGAGAGTCCTCTGCATTGCTTTTGGCTGTTTTTGGAGTTTTTGGAGCAAGCCAGATGTTCATGATGGATCCGACAAGTAAGCAATCTGTCCAACAACCATCAGCTTCTTGCATGGCTCACATGATACAGATATCAATTTGATCACAGGCTGTAACAATAACATACTCGAGGAGGTGCTAATGTTTAGAGCAAGGATGTTTCTTTTATCTGTCTCTGTCTGAAGATGGTGTTCATGATGAAAAGCCCATGCTCCATGCATTTTCTCTGAAGAAAGTTGCCATTGGAGTAGGCTTTCCCTAATCCTTCCTTCCCAGTGGTGCCACTCCAGAGCCACAGGTCACATCCAACTCTGGCATTGAAGTTAACAAAAGAATGATTTTGTCCTCCTTGAGTGCTAGTCAGCATGTGATCAAGGTTGGAGTAGAACTGCTCTTTGAAATCATTGTCAGTCTCAAGCATTGGGACATACACACTCATGAAGACCAGGTACTAGTTGTTACTGAGCTTAAAACAGAGGGTCATAAGATGTTTGTTAATGCCTCCAGGGAACTCGATCTGCAGATGCTTCTCAAGTAAATCTCAGGATGTCATCCTCACACTGTACTCAGCCTTGGTGAGGCCACAGCTGGAGTACTGCATCCAATTCTGGGCTCCACAATTCAAGAAGGGTGTCAAGAAGCTTGACAGAGTCCAGAGGAGAGCCCCACACATGATCAGAGGGCAGGAGAATAGGCCTTAGGAAAAGAGGCTGAGAATCATGGGACTCTTCAGCCTGGAAAAGCGCAGAGTCACGGGGGACCTGGTGGTTGCCTATAAGTACATATAGGGTGTGCATAAGGATCTGGGGGAATGTCTGTTCACCAGAGCTCCCCGAGGGATAACAAGGACCAATGGTCATAAACTCTTCCAAGACCATTTTAGGCTGGACATAAGGAAAATTGTCTTTACTGTCCAAGCCCCCAAGGCCTGGAATAGACTCCCTCCAGAAGTGGTACAGGTACTCATTCAAAAAAGATCTGGATGCTTATCTTGCTGGGGTCCCATGACCCAAGCTAACTTCCTGCCCCTGGGGCAGGGGGCTGAACTTGATGGTCTTCAAGGTCCCTTCCAGCCCAAATGCCTATGAATCTATGAATTCTTGATGGCAAAGCTGACACCATGAATGTATCTGCCCTGCACCAGTTTTCCCTTCCAGAAAAATGTGCAGCCTCCACCCTCTTCCCTCAGCTGATCCTCCAAGCTGCAATTTCAAAGTTGTATCTTGCTAGTACCCTGGAGATAATGGCAGCTCTTCTTTCTGGTCATTTGTTGTCTTGGACATCCACCAAGGTGCAATGATTCATTGAATCATAGAAAATTAGGGTTAGAAGGGACTTCAGGGGGTCATCTAGTCCACACCCTGCTGGGCCATTCCCAACTAGATCATTCCAGGCAGGGCTTTGTTGAGCTGGGCCTTAAGAAGTTCCAAGAATGGAGATTCTACCACCTCTCTGGTTAACTCATTCCGGTGCTTCACCACCTTCCTAGTGAGAAAGTGTTTCCTAATATCCAACCTAATCTTCCTTTGCTGCAACTTGAAATCATTACTCCTTGCTTCTGTCATCTGCTGCCACCGAGAACATTCTAGATCCATCCTCTTTGTGACCACCCTTCAGGTAGTTAAAGGCTGCTATCAAATCCTCTCAATTTTCTGTTCTGCAGACTAAATAAGCCCAGTTCCCTAAGCATCTCCTTATGAGTCATGCTGTTACTCATTCCAAGTTGTGAAAATCAATGTCTTCTGATTGTTTTGACTGCAGAGAAGAGTGATCCCACTGGACACAGTTATCCAGTCAGAAGCAGGTAAAACAGCCTAGGTTTAGGGCACTTTTTCTAGCCTCTTTGCCATGTGGAGTGAGCAGAGGGGATCCTGAATAGGACTGCTCAGTCATGGCAGCAGCTGCCAAATAACACCCTGTCTTAACCCAGGTGCAAGATAACCATCAGGCTACCACTGTCTGCATGCAGATTTGTGGCTAGAGACTCCTGGATTCACTAGTCCTGGCTCTGTCACCACTCATCCATTTTGGAGCTTGGTACAGGAGACCATGTGTTTCCAGTGGTAGAGGCCTTTCCGTGACTATAACATGAAGAAGCTGGTATATAGAAACAACAACTACATGCCCTTGACAAGTTGGAAATGTGAGCCTAGTGGCAAAAGAGAACCCTAGACAACAGGAGACCTCCATCCTGATGCAGCTTTCTTCCATCTTTACAGCCACGGAAATTCTGACATCTTCTTCCACCTAATTCACCATTGAGGACTTCAGGTTCACACCGTGGTTTGTCTCAGGTTTGTTCACTATGGATGACCCTGCCAGAAGTGTGAGATTCTGAGCAACACAGCTCTGAGGATCATTGGCACAGACAAGCATCTCCGCAATTATAAGGTCTCAGTCCATGGAGAAGAAAAATTTACCATACCCCTACACAATCTGTTACAAGGGATAAGTTTTGCCACCTCCTTCCCCCCAGTAAAATATTTACACTTACTTCTAGATTGAATTGGTTTAATGTTCCTATTACATTTTCCTGCTACTGGACTTTTTATGCCTTTGAGGCCACATCCAGACAAGTGCAGCTGTGCAGTATGTGATGCCACAGACACATCTGTGGCACCACATACTGCATAGCCAGGGGTCAAAAAAAACTTAGATAAAAAAAAAAAGTGGAACAAAGCATAGAGGGGCAGTGCACGCTGTTCAGAACTGGAGCCTGGCCAGCCAGAGCCACACTCCACTGCCGCCCAGCCTCCACACAGCAGGATCATGACTGCTGCAACCCCAGGAGGCCCGTAGGTCCCCCAGGTAAGGCTGCTGGGGCCAGCCCAGTGCTCACCCCAGCCTTCCCTACCCTACCCTGGGTAACTTGCCACATGCCACAGAGCATGTGGCACAGCGGTTCCCTGGGAACAACTAGCAGCGGCACAAGGTGCACTGCTGCTAGTTGTCCCTGTGGAACCAAACATCCACGCACATGTGGATGCAACCTGAGGGATTAAAAAACTATTACCCAAAAATTTCTTCCAAACTAGATATATTTTAGACTTGAATTAAGTCACCTCTGTGTTCCTTGTTATACTAAATACAATTAACTTCTTTAGTCCCTCACTATATGGTAGGTTTCTAAGGCCCTTTAATTCATTTTAAAATATAATGCAACCAATGTTCTTGAAATGCCAAGAAGAGGGTTGAGAAATATTAGGAAGAATTGTGGTTAATTTAATTCAATTCAGTGAATATTTTTCAGATCAGTATTGTCAGTGCACTTTTAAAGCAAAAAAACTATATTCATACATACATTTCAACAAAAACATACAAAAATACCTCCCTGTCAAATACAAAACTGTAAAACTGAACAAGCTTTAGCCACAATAAAAATTTTGCAGATGAGTTTATATACAATTAATGCTCTTACATTAATTAGCTGGTCAGCTCCCAGTAGTCTAACCTTCAGATGAAAAATTGTCATTGGCTTCTCTTTCAGAATCTTCAATTGTTTGAATAAATATTCTATTCTTGTCACTTAGATCATTTATGTAGGATTTAAGAATTCATATTTTTACCTGCAATGAGATTAATGTGCATAAAATTAAGGCTTTAAAAGGTGAGCACAGAATAATCTATTTCAAAACATCAGTACTTACTTCTAGTCAAAATCATCATTTACCTTCTCAGTAGATCAATTTGCCACACATTTTAAAATTTTATTTTTTTCTAAACAGTCATAACAAATGCATATGACAATATAAGTTAATATTTATTAACTTCAGTTATTAAAATAAAAGTTACTAAACAGAACAGAGTCAAACCTTTTGAAAGAGTGGCCCCAACCAACTGCTGGAAAACAAAAGAGATTTCTTACTTTTAATAGAGGTTTAGATATAATTAAAAGGTTAAGGGGTCTGTAATGGATTAACAACCCAGTTTCCTATGGATATAGATTTTGGACACTGACCAAGAAAAATTCCAGGTCCTTGTACTATTTAAAGCTTGTTTGCCAAACAACTATCTTTTGTTATTCAAATCCTTCCTGATTTCTAGCCTAGAAGTGGATATTTTGTTTACTCGGTATTACAGAGCAAGAGAATCATAGGGTAGGGGACCTCAAGAATCTTTTAGTCCACATGTGCAAGATCAATATCCATGAAGTAACTATAATGCCATTTATGACTCCACGCTACCCCAAATGAATGATGGGGAAAATAAAGAACTTACGATCTAGAGTTTATCTTGTCTTTTTTCCAAAGCACAAACAAGCTTTTTAATAAATAATGGAATGATTATTCTATAGTTTAACATTTAATAAACCACACACCTTACACCAAAGACTATACTCAGAAGCTTACTATACAAATAAAGCAATGCTATCCCTCTAATTGAAGCTAAAATGAAAAAAGACAATTATACAATGATATTTACAAGACAACTGAAGTCATCAGAATCCCTTGATTCAAGTATTATCTCTACCACAGCTCACTGATGGGTCTTGAGGTGACTTAAGAATCCAGTCCTTGAGCCACAGACCCGTCCACAGAACCTGCAGTTTTTCCCCAGGGGAAAGTAGGTTGTACGCAAGGATTTCTCTCATTTTCCTTCCTCCATTCTCTCTTCTCTGCTTCGAGCACAAGATGCTTTACCTTGAAATGGGATGCCATTTTGCTGAGGTTGCAGCACCACTGGGGTCAGTCGACAGCTCTTGATTTCAACATCTCTTTTCTTGAGGTATGCTTTCAATGTGTCCTTGCAGCATTAACTAAAGTAATGAGATTAAAAATAAAGTCTTCTACTGACTACATATTCTGATTAATAAAAAAGTGAAGTATGACATCTGCTTAGTTTCAAAAAATTTCACAGAAAACAGAATGGAGAATGCAAGTGTGGCCTTGATTTCCAAAAATTGATTTCCAGCCAGGCCACAGTCTTTTAAAATTTCCAGCCAGGCCAAGCCCCATGTGAAGGGTCGCAATTTTAAAATGGCAAATTTTAAAAAAGCAGGGCTGAGCCTGTCCTTGTCTGCCTGGGCTGCAGGGCTGAGAGATTGCATGAGCACAGTCCCCTTGCCCAATCAGCAGCTGGGGGGTGAGGGAGGAACCATCTTGGCTACTGCCCAGGGAGCTTTTTTGCAGGGCTCTTTTTTTCAGATTTCTCCGATTATCATGGAAAATGCCTGATTTTGCATTTTCTGTGAAAATTGTGAAATTACCATTCTGGTATATCCCTACCTATAAAGGTCTAGCAAAGTTACATCAACTATGGGTTTAAAATATTGTACCCTATAATCAACGAAGTTCA